GAACGACTTATAATAAGTCAATGGTATTTGGTATGCAGTTGTATTAGCATTGACACATCTCATTCCATGGAGATTGGTTAGCCATGTACCTTCAGTCATGGTTCATCGACTTTGAATATTTGCATAACTTACATGTTAAAGTATTGCTATTTTAATTTCAACATTTGCATTATCAAAATTACAAAAAGGCGAGACATATCTCTGTGATAACAGTTTATTTATTCATGGTTTTGTCAGTTTATGAGATACATTTAGCAATAAGTCCACTATATTTGGTGTATGGAATGATTGTAAGGTGAACATGTCTGTCTGGTAGGGTTCATTTGACCTTGACCTCATCATTTTATTCAATCATGAATAAAACATAAGACAAAAATTAAGAAATTACACCAGCCAGGTGTTCCAGGTTGGTTACCATTAGTTTGATAAGCTTGTCCAACTTGGCATATGATACTGAAACCACATTTTAGTATCCTTGATTTATTGGCTTATATCATAATATGAGGAAACAACTTGTTTAGTCCTCTATGAAATACATGTTTTTGGCATCTTTCCTAAGGGTCAATGATAAAACCACAAAATTAAGTAACTAAGAAACTGGAACTTTCACAGAAATGAATAGATCTTCAATAAATATGACAGGTTTCACTGATGGAGCATGATGCTTCCCCATCTATTGCTGCTGAGTCCTCTCCTGGATTTGACTGGTATTAAAGTTATTCAGTTTTTAGTGTTTTGTGGACTATTATTTGTCTGTTCATCTTTAATTATTTTGGCTGTGGTATTGTCTGTTTTACTACAACTGCCTCAGTTAATACTTTTTTGACTTTTCATATAAATCTTTATATGATCTATTAGGGTTTTTGGAATATAGATTGATTGATTGCTGGTGTTTAGTGCAATCTTTTCAGCACACTTAGCTCATGGTGGCCAGTTTTTATTGGTGAAAAAAGCTGAATTGCAACTAGCAATCCTGGTTTATCAAAAATTAGAGTCAATTCCCCCTTTGTCAAAGCTGGGTTCAAACTCACAACCTCAGTGTTGACATGATAGTAATCACTGTAGTTTTATTACTAAGACCACTAGGCCACTGAGGCTAAAATTTAGGGAATATTGCTGTTAAAGGAGACCAGTGACAAATATCACACGCATCATAAAAAAGAATAATATAAGAAATTCTACCGCTTTAAGACAAATACATTTGTTGATGAAATCTCAAGTTTTCCAAATTGATTAAAATTACAAATTTTATTGTTTTGGAAAATTCGTTTATTGTCTAAGAGAATTGTACCCTGTAAATGAAAAGATTACCGGATGTTTTTAATTAGAAGTGTCTGCCACATCAAACAACTTTCATTAATTTAAACATAGTAACCTTATTAGTTAAAGGAAATTCATTATTAGCAAATTAGGCAACCATAACAAAAAGGTGATATTTCCTGATAATAACACAAAGGTGACCTTGTTGTTCGTCAATTCTCACTTTTAGTGATAAATTTGACAATAGATGTCACTTTGCTGTGAGTTTCGGTTATTTGACCATGTAGACACCATGTCCACCATGCCCATTTATTTTCTAAGTTTACATGTAATTGAAGAAATTTTTATTACCTTTTTTTCTACTTACCACAATAGCTACTAAATCAAATGTACCATACTTGAAAACAAATATTTATTATTGTCAAATTCATTTTGAAAGGGAGATAGGCATGGGAACTTTCAATAAAGAAATATCATCATGTATCATTAAGGTCCATTACGGTCCTATTCTGTGTGATAAAATTGGATAAAATGGATCTACACACTATTAATCTTAACACAATAACTTAATTTTCATAACCTCTTCTAATATTTCAAAGTTAATCATTTTTGAAATATATAATGTTGGCACTCTGGCTCCAGATTATAATAGGGAATTAAGTTGTCAGTTTTTGAATTGATGAAGACGTTATTTGACCTTTTAATCATTTGAATTTATTTTTATCAAAACTGATGTAAAAAAGCTTTTTAGAAATTAGTTTGATTTAATGAATGAGTTTACTTTAACTCATGAATTTGATCAGAAATCAGTTTTTAACCTTGATTTTGGAAAAAAAAGTGGCCTCCAGTAGTGTACTATTTTTTGGTAGTTTGACTTTAATATACACACCACTAGTTTTGAGGTTAAGAGTCTGTATCAAAAGTACTAAGTACCGGTAATCATTTTCATGTCCTGTGGTCACATTTATTGCCCTTGATTCACCAATTATTACCTTAATTATTGGCTTGAATGCCTTTGGTTACGAAGTCTAAAAAGATTAAAAACTAGACTTTAAAAAATGTATGGCTGCATCAGATTTTTTTAAGGAAGCCCAAGTTAAGACTCAACTTCTATATACATTACCTAATGATATTTTTGAAGTACATGATTTCGATCTGACAAAAAAAAATTCAAGACAACAATAACGATTTCCAGCATTCCCTCATTTCTAGTCCAGTCAAAATTACTACCATTCATCAAATAATGCCACTTAATTTACAAGAAGTACCTTTTGGATTTTTTGTATATTTTTTTATTTGACCAAGCCAAGGCTCCGTGTTGAAGGCTGTATTCTGACCTATAATGGTTAAATTTACAAATTGTGACTTGGATGGAGAGTTGTCTCATTGGCACTCATACCTCATCTTCTTATATCTATATATATCCATGAAATATTTGCCACTGGATGTTTAAAGCAAACATTAATCAATCAATCTGACTAATTTTTTTTTACACAATGGTAATATAGTGTTGATAATTGGTCTTTCATCGGCTGATTATGTAAATAGTTAAAAACCCTTTACCTATATGTTTGACCAAAAAATATATAATTGTTTCCTGTCTCTTGGCAGAAAAAATAGGGAAGGTACCCGAGTAAAATGATTTCTTTTCTTAAATATTTTACAAAGACTATATAAGGAAATGTTCTGGACTTCAAAGGTGCTTAACTGAAAATGTCTGGACTTTTAAAAGTGCTTAAAACCAGGAATTTTTTGAATCTGGAATAATTTTGAATTCTGGAAAATTGATAAGAAATGTATGATGAAAAACTAAAACAACTAAATAGAAGGCTTATTTTACTTTCAATGATATATTTCAGTATGAACTAACCACCCTCCCCCCTTTTAGGCTAACCCTCCAAAATTGGGTTTAAGTTATCATCATACATTTCTTTTCAATTTTCCAGAATACTAAATTATTCCAGATTCAAATAATTCCTTGTTTTAAACATAAATATCCATAAAATGAGTTTGGGAAGACATGAACATTTTTGGTAGATATGGAGATCTGAAACGCAACTTTATATTTTTCTTACCATTTGCAAGGAAATAAGTTAACACTTGGTATCAGTGTAGTGTATGTGTAATGGGGTGAAAAGGATTAAAAATGTTGTTTACAGAGCTGTAGCAAGTAAATGTTTAAAATGAAACATAGAATGAATAAGGGAAAGATGGAATATTCATAAGTAGTTAAAAGAAATGCTTCCAACAAGTCTGTAATAGTTTAGACAAAAGTTAGTTCTTTGCACTTAAGATTTAGTATATTAAAGATGTAAAGTTAAAATAAATTTAGATTTTTTAGACATTATAGAAGCAGACAATCCTTTAAGCTTTTTAATGAGCGGAGGCATGATTTGTTGTGGTGAAAATGATTCAATTTTAACAGATGCAATACACAACTTCATCGTTAATCAGTGAAATTAACAATCATCTCAAACCCACACGCTGGTAATTATGAAGGTGCTAAGAAAAGTCCAGTAGCCTTTTCTCAATGTTGCATGAAATATAGAAAACAGCAGTTTAGGTCATGCGTCATGCAAGTGAAAATAATTTAATCATGGCATATGCAAAATTTAAATGCACTCTTAGACAGCATATCGTTTCATAAAAGTAGACAGGTGCCTTCAGTTTCTTTTAGCATTAATATTTTTTTTTTGCATCTTAAATAAATGATGCATTTGGCAGGACAAGCTTGAAAGCAAATGTGTAAAATTACTTTCCAATTTTGCAGACTTTTAAATGGTTAAGTCTTCAGTAAACATTATAAGGTTTCTATCATTTTATAATAACAAATTTTGATTAGAAGGTAGCAAGGTGGAAAATTGAAACAGACTAAACTTAATTAAAATGTGACTTTGATTTAAATGAGGTTTATGTAACTTGATAAATTCTACAGTGCCAGGCTATAATAAGATGTTTCTTAAAAACAAATCCACTGGATTTTTTTCCTATAATTTTACCAAGATTTCTTTCATTACTCAAGAAATGTGGGAGAAAATATATTATAACTTTAAAAATGGAATGATTGTAAGGTGTACATGTCTGTATGGAAGGGTTCATTTGACCTTGAACTCATTTTCATGATTCATTGGTCAATGTGAAGTTTTTGTTGTTTTGTCAGTTTATCAGATACTATAAGCAATAGGTCAACTATATTTGGTGTATGGTGTACATGTCTGTCTGTCAGGGACCTTATTTTCATGGTTCATTGGTCATTTTGTAAGTTTTTGTGGTTAGGTCTGTTTCTCAGGTACTATAAGCAATAGGGCCATTATATGTGTTGTATGGAATGATTCTTAGGTATACATGTCTGTCTGGCATAGTTGATTTGACCTTGACCTTGATCTCATTGTCATTGATCATTGATAGTGTTAGATGTCATCATTAGATGTATGTGACATTTGTAGTAAAAACTTCATATTACAGTGTGTCAACATTAATGCAATCATGATAAGTAAAGCAGATGAGACATTTCAGAGGGTGCACTCTTGTTTAAAAGAGTTATAAATAAAAACTTTAAAGATGATCTCCTTGTGTACGGTAGTAGTCTTATATCTCTGTATTTTCTTCTATATCAGGATAATCATGGCAAATAAATTTAATGTGCTTAGCCATGGACCATAGAAGTTGTATGTAACTGTTATAATTCACTAAATTTGATAAATATGTGAACTGATGAATAACTTTTTTTGTTCTTTCAGACACGAAATCCATAAAATCTACCCAAACAAGTTTGTCAATAGAGAGGATGATCCTAATAGGTTTAGAATATTCAACACCTTGTATGAACTACCAGGTAATATCAAGTTTCTGTATGTATACATTGAATGAAAAATCAAGTAACAGTTTAATTAAAAAAGGTACAGCTTCAATGTTCTCCCCAGAATTTTCAAATAGCACCATGTGATTTGAAATAGCACTGATTCCCTAAACTTAAAGCACCACATAATGACATTTATAATGCATTATACTACATGTATCAAATCTATTCAGATAGCACAGAAAAAATGCACCATGGGCCAATAGTACCATTGTTTTACAAGGCTCTGTGGAGAACACACAAAAGGGGACACATTTGATATGTCTTAAAGTTATTAGGCTTATAAAATGCTGGTCTGTCCTGTGCTTATACTACTGAACTTTGTTTTTAAGATGGTCAAACAACTTACAATCATAGCTATAGTTTGTTTACCTGGTCCAAAGGGTCTAACTTTGTATCCATCATCAGTTTGAGTATTGGTTTCTAAAAATAAATCTTGTGCTCAAAAATGGTCATTTTGAAATCTAAGGCTGTCTAGTTAATAATTATAGAATAACTAATCGAAGAAATCAAATAGAGAAAAATATTCAACGAGTGACCGAACAACACATTAATTCACGAATGCGCGTAGCGCATGAGTTAATTATCAGTGTTGTTCGGTCACGAGTTGAATATTTTTCAATATTTGAATTCTTTGATTAGTTATTCTTTTTATTACATTGGCAAATGGCTTTTTTAATGAAATTAATGCAGAAAATGTAAGGAACTATATCTTTTTTCTAGCATTCACAATTTGTTTTGATCCGACGTTATTGACGTCTTGACAACGCCTATTGTTGTATGACGTCAGAGAGTGAAATAACCACGTTTATTTCACATGTGAAATTATTGGTTTTTATTTGACTGGGAAATCAATGTAATTCATTGCTACCAATGTAATAATTATTTTTAATGTTACTGCCAACCAAAACACATATGTATAATCTATATGATCATTGTTGAAATATAGGAAATAAGTTGACCCTAAAAGTCAATTGAAAAGATTGCAAAATGTGAATAGAAATTTTTATTTTTTTTTGGGGGAGGGGGGGGAGAGTTTTTCTTGATGCCATTTGAAAATAACAATAAACGTTTACTAACAAAAAGATTAAGTGGAGTGATCTTGGGTATACCCTTAATGACCATGACCTTATAAGTATCTGTGGACTCACTGTTGTTTTATATTCATGTCTTTTCATCTACTTGAAAGCCTTGATATCTGTTAAATCTTTAATGTGTGAAATAAATTCAACTAAATGTATTAGCACATTGCACACTGAATACAAAATGAAAATGATTAGAATGTATACCAAGGCAATTTTTCAGTATAAGTAGACCAAATAAAAAAAGTGTTTTATGAGGCTAAATAAAAAGTTATGCTGAAAAGACATTGACACTTTTGAGGTTGAGATGTATCATTTTATCATTGTTTTTCTAATGTACTTTTCTCACTTTGATACATATGCACATTTGTTACTAAGTTGATATAGTGTTATAATTTATCTAAATAACACCTCCCAGATTATAGAAATTTGTATTACCAATTAATCATGTAGACACCTTTAGTACATTGATCAAAGCTATTAGTTGTATTGTGTTAAAAGTTTTGTTCCTGTTGAAAGCTCATGTCTATAAAAACCTTTTTTTAGATCATACAAAAACAAAATCTTTAGTTTCCCATGACAATCTTGGGAATCGGGAATAAATTTTCTTTTACCCCCCTTTTTTTGCCAGATTGTGTCAATGTTACACAGGTTCCAAGTAGATTGGAGGGGATAGATTGAGTTTTCAGATTAGCCTTAAAATGCGTATTAGTTAGTTGGAAATATTTCTTGAAAAATAGGAATAGTCAATGATGAGAAAACAAAATGACAATTACTGTGACTTTTTCTTACTTCATGGTAAAGGGAAAAATTTCATTGGTACAGGTGAATCACAAAATATAAATTTTCTATAGGATAGTATGCAGATTTTTATGCCCCTGCCATAGCAGAGGGGGCATTAAGTTTTACCCTTGTCCGTCTGTAAATACATACGTCTGTACGTCCCAAAGTTGGTTTCCGTTCTCTAACTTGAGTTTGCCTCAACCAAATGTTATGACACTTATATACAATGCTTATTACCACAAAATACAGATCAAGTTTGAATTTTGGTAGCATCACTCTAACTGTTCTAGAGTTATGCCCCTTTATAAATGGAAAAATTACAAAATTTTTAGTTTCCTTTTTGTAACTTAGGTTTGCCTCAACCAAATGTTATGAAACTTATACACAATGCTTATTACCACAAACACAGATCAAGTTTGAATTTTAGTGGCGTCACTTTAACCGTTCTAGAGTTATGTCTCTTTATCAATGGAAAAATTGTAAAATTTTTAGTTTCCGTTCTCTAACTTAAGTTTGCCTCAACCAAATGTTATGAAACTTATACACAATGCTTATTACCACACAATAAAGATCAAGTTTGAATTTTGGTGGGGTCACTTTAACCATTCTCAAGTTATGCCCCTTTATAAATTGAAAAAAATGCAAAATTTTTAGTTTCTGTTCTCTAACTTAAGTTGCCTTAACCAAATGTTATGAAACTTATACACAATGCTTTTTACCACAAAACACAGATCAAGTTGAATTATGGTGACGTCACTTTAATCATTATCGAGTTATGCCCCTTTATAAATTGAAAACTTGCAAAATTTTTAGTTTCCGTTCTTTAACTTAAGTTTGCCCCAACCAAACATTATGAAACCTTTACACAATACTTATTACCACAAAACTCAGATCAAGTACAAATTTGTGTAGCGTCACTTTTATTGTTCTTGAGTTATGTCCCTTTATAATGTTGTATGCAAGCGGGGGCATCATCTGTGTCCATGGGGACATATTCTCCATTTATTTCAAATGTTATGAAAGAGATTCTAAGAGAATAACCAGTCTTGTTGACTTTTTTGTCCACAATCATGTCATCATGTTGATGTTACAGCCAAGTGGTTGCAAGGTTGCATATAAAAATAAGATCTGGTATAATTGCCAACTAGACAATTCTCCACCAGAGACCAAATGACATAGAAGTTAACAACTATAGGTCACTGTATGGCCTTCAACAATGAGCAAAACCCATACCGTATAGTCAGCTATAAAAGGCCTCAAAATGACAAATATAAAACAATTCAAACCAGAAAACTAACGGCCTGATTTATGCAAAAACAATGAAGGAAAGTGCAAGAACCTTAAAACATTGGTTGGTATTTGTAGAGCTGTATTTAAACATAGATGCAATAACTGCTTCCATGCAAGGCTACATTCAAACACTGGTTAGTATTTACATAGAAAAATTGAGCATTTGGTGTAATTTGTGAAGTCATATTAAAACAATGGTAACTATTTACAATGCAACATTGAAACTTTTTGTGGAGTGTGTAAAGCAAAAGTGAAACAAAACAGTAGGTGCTTTTTGCCTAGGAACTTTGAAAAAAAAGGATATTTTTCTTGTATAAGAACATAGAAACAAAACTGGTATGTAGCTGTTTCTTAAGCAACATCAACACAGTTAGTTCTTTTAACATGGTTACATTCAAACAATTGATGTTTATTTCAAGACAATATTGAAGTAATGAATGCTATCTGCAACATTATGAGGACAGATTAGTTGATAGTTTTATGAATTAAAGTTTGATGACCCGGTTAAAACTTGCAGTTAGTTGACATGTGCACATTTTCAGGGATTACATTTGATTCAATCTTATATATGCTTAATATTGAATACAATTTTCTAACACCTTGCACATATGTTTTGAAATGTGTCATTATAAGAACAGAGGATTTTTTTTTATTGTCATGTTTAAGAGTTTTTAAGTTAATACATTTTTGTTCAAGGAAGCAATACTGTCTTTCATGCAAAAAGTGCTTTACAAGTGCTTTTACATGTCAATAAAACTACAAAAAAGGCATTCAATTCTTAAGTAAAAAGTGTTATGGATAGTGATCATAGTGATTTTTTAACATATCGAAATTCCAGTAGACTTTGTATGTTTGTTTCAAGATGGATAAGGATAAAAAATGAACCATAATACGTCTCAATTTACTGTCACTTTATGTCAGAGAGCTGTCATCAATTTGAGGGTTAATATGTTAATAAACTCATTATTAATACACCAATACTACATAAATAGCCAGGAAACAATGTTGTTAATGACTTCTGTGATGGGCGAAAATTCAATTATCAGAATAATAATTTTAATAACTTGTCCATCAAAGCAATTACTTGTCATCTTTCATAAATAGATAAAATATAAATGTTTAAGAATAAACATATGCATAAAAATGCATATGATAATTAATGTAGACTGTCTGAAGTCTGAAATGTTTTTTTTTTTGGGAGCATTGAAGTGCAACTTACTAAATGGTCTATACAGATAGTCTTGTACTGTTGTAGTGTCAAAAGAAACTTGTGTTAGAGAGTGCAACTTACTAAAGGGTCTATACAGATAGTCTTGTACTGTTGTAGTGTCAAAAGAAACTTGTGTTAGAGAGTGCAACTTACTAAAGGGTCTATACAGATAGTCTTGTACTGTTGTAGTGTCAAAAGAAACTTGTGTTAGAGAGTGCAACTTACTAAAGGGTCTATACAGATAGTCTTGTACTGTTGTAGTGTCAAAAGAAACTTGTGTTAGAGAGTGCAACTTACTAAAGGGTCTATACAGATAGTCTTGTACTGTTGTAGTGTCAAAAGAAACTTGTGTTAGAGAGTGCAACTTACTAAAGGGTCTATACAGATAGTCTTGTACTGTTGTAGTGTCAAAAGAAACTTGTGTTAGAGAGTGCAACTTACTAAAGGGTCTATACAGATAATCTTGTACTGTTGTAGTGTCAAAAGAAACTTGTGTTAGAGAGTGCAACTTACTAAAGGGTCTATACAGATAATCTTGTACTGTTGTAGTGTCAAAAGAAACTTGTGTTAGAGAGTGCAACTTACTAAAGGGTCTATACAGATAGTCTTGT